AATTGCGCAGTGTAAAGGATCCCCGAATGCCCATGCCAGATCTATGCCTGAAACGCAAACCTCTGTGACAGAGCCGGACGTCAAAGCCCTCAACATCAGAAAATGTCTCGCTCTCGTGATGACTAACTGCAGTGCATCACCGGTTGTGCAAGACATACAAACAGCATGTCAGGCAAAGGGAGTACGGCTCTCTGCCGCACAGCCATGCTGCCCAGCACATTTCGCCATGGCAGAGAAAAAGTCTCCATTGCAGCACCAGCAGCAAGACAAGCTATACTCGAAACAGGAGACGCAGCAGACATAGCAGCTATCACTGTCACGACAACACAGGTTTCTGTGAGCACCGCTAGTCATGCTGTGATACAATACGAGCGGTCCCATCAGGTCGAATTTGGCCACAACCCTGTCAGGGGCACGCACTGGGCACGCTCAGTTAAGTCACATCACCCGTGCTTAGACACATCAACAACGGCGAAACTCCAAGAGCACATGGCGCAAGACAAGGCCTCAGACGGGTATATCCAGTGGGGATCAATTTCATCACATAGACATATCGGCGTAGTTTGCAGTAAGAACAGAACCGTGACGAACACAAACCCGGTAACGAACAAACTCGCTGCAGGAGTTCCCTGAATACTTGAGCCAACAGTAACCTCCTCCTCCTCCTCGGCAATGGCATTGGTTCCCTCCGCACCTCTGACGGATCAACTCTGAGGCTAAAGCTTCCAGGGCTTTGGGCCCAGATCCCGAAAAAGCAAAAAACGAAGCCTACAACCTAAGCCCTGAGCTCCAAGTGTTGAGGTTTCGACTTGTCCTAAACTCCAAGTCTTGAGGTTTCGAGTTGGATGTCGGTTTCGGAGTTCAGGCGTCAAGCTGTGAGACTCAAGGGAACAAGATGAGGATGATGCTAATGAGGGGCTGCACCATAATGTTCATCAGGTCATCACCGTCATCGTCATCATCATCATAGTCATCATGATGTTCGTGGGCCTGGACATTGCCGTCGTCATCATCACCACAAAGAAGCTACGATATCGTCGCAATGGTCACCTCAGTCGGCAAGCACTGTTGGTTCTTGGGCATGCTCGTAACACACAGACAGGTTGCTCTACTGCCAACCTGCCACTACTGCTGCTACGCTGCAACTCTAAGCGCACATGTGTGCGTGCAATTACACACACAGTCACGCAAGTACACGTCAATAATTATACATTGTATTTGAGATGGGCACTACATGCCTAAACGTCTATCGGTGCGCATGCATGTCTGCATGCATGCATGCATGTACGCAAAGCGGGGTACGCGCGCCTGCCTATATGCAGGTGAACAAGTGAGAATCAATCGATGAAGGAATGCCTGCCCAAAAAACGTACCGACCCTAACGGCTCTAAGTAGTACAACTGGCGTTGCGGCAGCACGCGCTAATACCAGAGGAGGGGGTGGTGTTTTGTCTGTCTTATAATTTAATACATACCAAGCTACTCCCGAGATCTCACCGCCCCTCTTAGACAAGAGCCCAAACAAGAGGATGTGAAGATGTTCCACCTAACCGACCTGCCCCTTATATAGCTGGGGGCACAGGCTCTCAGGGGCGTTGGATGCCTTGGAGCGGTTTTGGGAGCAAGTCCCGCTCTCAGTTACAACCCTGAAGCCGTGATCTGTGCTTTGTGCAGCCAGCGTCACCGTCGAAGTCGTCTGCAGTGAGCAGGGGCTTGAGTGCACGTTACGCTTCGGGATCGCTCGAGGTCTGATGCTTGGCTCATCGTGACGTCTACAGTAGGGCCCAAAAAAAACTGAACATCAACTATTGAAACCGTCCTTGTTACATGGATACTCCATTAAAAGGCTTGTGCTTAAGAGCCCTTTTGGCTCCTAGTGCAAGTCGGGCAGGGGGTCTTCAGAGCATAGGGAGCGGCGGGAGGGTCAAAATTATGGTCCCTTTTCGGGTCCCTAGTATAATACGGCACCTATTATTTATGGTACCAAAGAAGGACCATAATTTTGACAACTACCCATGTGTTTGCGGATTGCACCCAAAGCGGCAAGACCTCGAAGCCGGCACTGCCAAAAAATACTCGAGTTAGATGCCATGGACCCATAATGACCCATAGCCGTGGCAAGGACGGTAACAATTGTGATCTCCTCAACAGCGTAAGACATGAAATACTCATGAAATATTATGACAGCGATAGGACCCTGCCTCGCAAAGGCAGGCGAGCACTGCGCTCCCCATCTTCAAGGTCAGACGACCTAAAGCTTCAGTTCGCAGGAGCCCTCTCTGGGGGACCGCACGTTTGCACAGGGTTTTCCGCTGGTTCGTCACAGGGACCTTAAAGGTGCAGCCTTGCGGTTAAAGTCCAAACCGCCTCTTACAATCCAAGGTGGAAGTTGTGGAGTGCAGCCGGTTACCAGACCTGCTTCAGTCCACTTTCTTAGAAGATGCCAAGCGCCTATAGCCTAAAGCGCCAAAACTCCGTAAGCCCTGCACATCCCTCAAAACCATCCGGCCCTCAAAATCAAGACATCGGCGAAGATGCTCTCGACCCTAGATCAGGGCCAAAAAGGAAGCACAACGCCCACACACCCACACAACAACATGCTGCACTCTCATCTCTCTATAGAGGGTGACATCCCAAGAACCACAAGCGCCTCAGTACTTCCTTACTCCACCTTTCGAGGAGAGCGAGCAGTGCCGCGTTTGGTCTTCGCCTAAGCCCAAGCCTCCGCCTCATCCGCAGCTTATGCATCGGCAATGACCCTCCACGCCCCGAGAAAGCAAGCATTGACCTGTCAATGTCCAAGAATCTGGTCCGTGCGCTGGGGCGGCCTGACGTCGGAGGCAGCATTTTCGTTGCATGCCGAGTGCGCAAGTGAGGGAGGACCCTGAATGTGTGACTGGATGGAGATCCTGCATATTCGAGTAGACCGGCAGCCAAAAAGATCGACCCGATCCTCGCGACTTGCTCTAGCCCGGCCCCGGCCCCAAGCAAACAAGAACAAAACACGCATCAACCTACTCAGACCATATCGTAGTCTGAGACCTGTACATGTCTGAAGCCGGGAACTGAAGCAGGCACGAAGGGCAGAGCTGGGGAGAAGGAGAACCTCGTCACCTGCTTCTTTTTGCTCCACATCTTGTACATTCTCGTGACTTGCAAAAGCCCATACAACCACAACCAGACTCGAAAGAAGAGCGGCTTGCCTTTCAGGGCTCCGGAGGCCGGAGGAGGCACGGAACACCTGCAGTGGCGGCTCCAAAGCTGGAGGAGTACCGGAGGGTTTGTGAACTTGTATGTACTGGTAACATGTAGTCACGTGCTCTCGAGTTGCGCAATGTTGTGGAGGGTACTGGGGGCTGCCCTGCCTGAAGCAGGCACACACACACACAGACAAACCCACACATCTCCTGCATGACAAAAAGATAGATTTACCAGGGTGTGGCAAACAATTCATTCGTTGCGCTGTTGCTACACATGCTGTTTCACGCCCCATGATTCTCTCTACTTCTCGATGGTGTATAGTCCAGGGCCTCGGGTCCTTGAAATATCAAGCTGCTCTAAGCTAAGATCCTGCTCGACTCCAACGCCCCCGGGCCTAGCACTCTCTTTGGGGCGGGGGTTTCTTGTGGAAAGGTGTGGACCCCGGGCGGCGGCACTAAGGGCTCTTGCCCGATGAGCACCCCCTTTCCCCCCCTCCCCTGTGCTGGGGTGACAGTGCCCTCTAGTATTCTGGCTCAACTGTTGTTGCAACTGATCCGGCGATGCCGACGTCTCCACCCATCATCGGCCTGAGGACATTCAGTGTATATGTGAGGTATTCCACGCTCATCATATGCATTAGCAACTCCCTGGATTGCTACCTTTGTTATCGGCCTTGTTCCAGGGCCGCGCCTCTGTGCTGTTCATTGCCGCGGTGGTGCGCATGTTCATTTACTGTGCTCGCCCTCGGTGCTGGAACAGTGTTCCCTCGGCACATGGCGCACGCCTTTGGGTCGCCTTGTGTGTGCCCTCTGTGCATGGAGCCTCGCTCCCTCGGCACTGGCCGCACGGTTCGCCCCCTTTCAACTCTTTGCGTCTGCTGCCGGCCACTTGGTGTGTTCTTTGGTGCATACAAGCATAAGTATTATCGGTTGGTGACGTCTGGCTTGGCCTCCTGCCTGCTTTATCCCTGATCAAGGACTATGCCTCTCCGATTCTTGGGTTTGAAACATGTATCTTAGTATTCTACACCGTGACCTGTCTGCACTAGCTAGTTTTTCCCCCACTTGAACTCTGGGACGGAGGGAGGCGATGACGCTTGCGGAGCCCCCCTGAGATGTTGAGAGGGACGCGGGAGGTAGGCCGCACCGTAAGTGCTGGTCGACACTCACTCACTTACTCACTCACTCACTCACTCGACTCCAACGGAACCCCTGATGCGAAAGCTTTGCATAGCCAACAGCAGTCCTGAGATCATCGGGTATCTAAGGCAACGCGTTGGTCTATGGTGGCTGAGTCTCAATCAAGTCCTGAGTCTTCACCAAATCCCATAATGATCTAAAAGCGCCCGTGATTTCACAAACGCAAGATTGTGCGCCTCTTCGTGCGCTTCCACCGGATCTGGCATTGCTTCGTCAGCACCTGCCCCGCAGCTAAATCATAGGTGCCGGCTTCCGTTGACTTTTTGCCCTTATTGTTGCAAGTCTTGGGCAAGTGAACGCTTTTGGAGCCTTTTTTTGCAGAGTGGCAGGGTGTTCGGCAATTTCAACTCGCAAGGCCAGCCCCTCGTCTTCTCGCCGAACGAAAGTGTGTCCCTGCTCCTAGGAGCACGGCGCATAACTTGGCTATCTGTCGAGGTGCACATATGATGTCGAATGAGCAAGCATTGCTCAATTTTTCCCACACATGCAGAAGGTAGACCCCGACGCTTGCAGCACAGCCCGGGCCAAAGCTACAAGTACGAAATTCGTTCCAACCTGCGCGCTTCGTTGAGGGATGTTGCGGGCATACCACCACGGACAATCACGAAACACAACCGCATCGACACCCGCCTGCAGCGTCACCTTCTGTGCCACCCGCGTCTCCAGCTAATGGCACACTGAAGCTCCGGACTGACAGCTCGCCTGTGCCCCCTCCTGAGTGTATGCATTCTGAGGTCGTGAGAAACTGTGGCGAGAATGCATAACGAGGCATGACATAAACTAGTCCACCAGGTCCCTGTGGAAATGCAACTTGGACGAAACTATGCAGATGATCAACAATGAGCCCAGCAATGCAAAAGAAAGCGCCGTATGTAGTCAAAATGATTCGTAGCTGTGCTACCAATCGGCTGCACGAGGACGTGCAGTTAGTCGGACCGACTAAGCAGGGCCTGTGACAGCTGGCTTGTGCACTCCTGTTTGCTGGGAGCTACCTGAAGCAAATTGCCGGTTCCGGATAGCAACAGCTTCAAGTATAGCTCACAGCTTGGGCATTCGTCTCATGTCGCGTTCGAGTGTCCATGGCTCAAGCCGCCCGGCCGCGGCTCCGGGTCCGGTGCCCGAAAGAGCGAAACTTCCGGGATGTCACCTGAAGATGAAGAATTTCCGGGAAGATACTTCCTGAACGGATGCCCTGCGATGTAGGTTAACAGAAACATGACTTTATGCACTTTCGTAAGGTCGCATGTATCCTTCTGGCTACCACCTTCGACGACACTCTCGCAAGCTCAGCTTCCATGTTCACGGCTGACGGTCGCGATGTTTACGTGTATGGCTATAGTTGTTCGTCTTTTGACATTGTGCCCCATAGCGCCTTCATGCAAGACTGCAACAGACTGTAGAGGTTGGGGCCTAACCACTGCAAATTCGTTTGAAGTCTGTGTGTTCGCGCATGGCCAGCTCCCAGTCATTTTCAGATAGCAGTTTCCCGCATGCCAGATCGTACGATTGCATGCTCGGTGTCCCTCCCCGTGGTTTCGGCACTCCTCCCCGTTGCGTTTCCTCACCTTTGAACATGATGCCGATGATCTCAGCTTTTGAGTATGATGGCAACCAGTGAAGCGACGACGATCATGACTCGGGCGTAGGGCTTACTGCCCAAACCCCGAGCTTCAATGGCCCTGCGGGACGAGACGAGTGGCCAAAAACATCGGAAGACATAAAAGCAAAAGGAAACAACACACCTTGGCCACTGCAGCTGTGCAGGTTGTGGAATGGAGTCATTACCTCCTGGATGGCTGGGGACACTGTGCAAGAGTGCAAGTAATGCACACAAGAAACAACTGCATGACAATGCACTTAAACACCTCATACTAGTACTGAACCGTGCTTTGAAAACATTCGGAGCCCCTGCATGCAGCCCTCCAGCGCATTCGAGTAAAAGATGGCACTACGTGGACCAGTTCTGAGCCCCAAACCTATCGAAACCCTTGACCGCAGAGCCTTCGTCTCGCAACACTGGTGCTGGTGTGCTGCTGCTGGCAGCGCCCGATTTCTGCGTATCTGGATGGTCCCAATCACCGGGATGGCAGAACCTTGCGGTTGACCCCGCTCCCGGCGAGGATTAGAAAACAATTAATTGCGTCCAGCAACTTTGTTCAAAAACATCCAAAAGTTCATCCATACATCGTCTAGAGTTCTACGTTCCAACTGAGCCCATCCTCAGATTCGGCCAGTTGCACCTTACACCAAATCGTACGGCAACTTGCGCAGACCATGCACAAACCCTTTCATCTCGCCAGAACCACAGCAAACGCACCTAAGAAGGAACCGCAGTGTCCGTTTCGGGCGTTCCCAAACGAAAACCATTCACTGTTCGCCCCGAACACCTCACGCGCGTGAGATACTCGGCTGGGTGTGATACACGGCCTGCAAGGATGAGCACCGAAGGCCGAGGAGATGAGAATGACATGTCGCCGATTATTATGATTCTTGTGACATAGGAAATAACGCTGGGTACTCGCGGGTTGGGCATTCCACGATGCTCGGCGGGATTTTTCACGGTCAGTTGCTGGAGACTCTGGGGATGGACAGCAGGGAACTGGGATCGGCACTCCAGGTTACAATGCTCAGAGGGATATAGTACGGCGGCCAGCAGGGACGCTTGAGGGATACTCGGATACTCAGCCAAAAATGCAAGAGAGCACCAGTCCAGGGAAACCTTGATCACTAATCTGAAACAAGGCACTGCTTCCGATGCATTGGATTCTTTCGATAGCCTCAGGTTGCTGCTGACCCCGGTATTTATCATTCTTTCTCAGTTGCCAAAGGTACTGCCGCACATCTCTACAGCATGTCTCCAGGCTGGCCAATGGGAACGAAAACTCGATTCATTTCCGACTACCAGTACCAGACACATGACTTCAAGTTGAATTCAACCCTTGGCAGTATGTACGATCGCCCCAAGGGGCATTCCTCTCCGTATCGGCATGGCGGTCGGGGGCTTGCTTCGTCCATCTCTTCCTCGGGAGCGTTGGTCTTGCGGGCATCAACAGCTGGCAATAAAAGTCGCCGGGCCCACAGCCCAAATCAAAGCCGGAGGCCCTTGCGGCCCTAGCCTGATCATGAATTGCCACTCCGATTGAGATTCCACTACCTCCTGCTACTGCTACGAGGACCATTGCTACAAACTTCTGCGGTGAGGAAGCTCTGCAGGCGGTCTGAATGATGATGACTGCACACATCGTTACGACTGATGAATTTGGGAATCGGTGAAGGGTGTGCACGAACCAAGGCTTCGAAACAGTTTCGGCACCCCTACAAGCGGGGTGTAGGGAAAGGCTTTTGTTTCGCGCATTTGAACTCATTTGCAGCAGCTAAATCGGAAGGCATTGCAAAGGTCTACGTGCCATCACCCAAAGCCGATTGGTCGAAACCCAGGCCAGAAATGACCGCGACGGTCTGAACTTAGAAGCTGGAGGATCTCTGCGGCTTATTGGAGAAGCGGCCGAAGTGAACACGCCGAGTTCGACACGAGGCATAGGCCCTTGGCTTGCACTGATGCGGAAGCTGCATTTTTGCGCCGCGTCACTGCTACGTCACTATGCCGGTTCCAAGACCGATTGCGATGGTCAGCTTTGAGTTGTTCTGATTGCTGCATGTCCGTGCAGAACGTTACTCTCTGTTCCGGAGTGGTGGCGGTCGCAATAATGTCGCAGGTCACGGTTACGATGAAGGCTCATGATTGGCTACGTTTGTTGTATCCTCCTGTCATCGCATTGCGCTCACTGCAAGCATCGCAACATCCTCTCCTGTGACTTCACTGAGTGCCAGTAGAACGTCTCGCAAACACGAAGTCACTGTGGCCTTACTGACACTACCGCTTCACCGCAAAAAAAAAAACAGTAAACATGCATATGTGACCCCGCTAGTTGGAAAAACTTTATGGCATACGATACACAACCATGCAGCCCTTGATAAACCGGCTTCTGCCAAGCCACGGGAAGATTCGCCTGCTGCAACCTGTCTCGCAGCACTTCTCTCATTTCATCAGGTTGCGGGCAGGGAGGCCCGGGGCCGACAACAGCAAAATTCCTTCTTAGCGTGGACCTAAGAACAAGACTCGACGGAGTAACAAGTTGAACATAACAAGTGCCTGGGTCAAGTATGAGTCCAGCATACGGCACATACACAAGCAAGCCCCGAACGCATAAGCATGCATAAGCGCAAATGCACGAGCACGGCGTGGGCCGAAGCAATGCACTATCGCCTCACTCGCTGCAGCGTCCGAGCTCTGTCGTCGCTTTTTCTTCTTCTTTTTCTTCTCCTGAGGAACGATTTTGATGTAAAGTCAGTCCAAACATTCCAAACGCAGAATAGCTTGGAGCGACATGCTCATGACATCTCATGACGGTGTCCCCGGCTCAGCCTTGCCACTGCTTCTGCTTTCAGTGCTTGGCGAATCCTTGGTGCTTCGGGCCACACAGCAAAGAAACACCAACAGATCCTACAAGCACTAATTACCGATAGCTTTGCAAGAACCCTTCGGCATGCGCGGAAAATGCCATCGAGTCGTGTCTGGGGCGAATCATAAGAGGCTTCGGCCAACTAGTCTGATTTGCCAGGCGAGGGTTCGGTCCGGATCGCTCCAGACCAAAGCTTGTATTTGGCTCGAAGTCGAGACTGAGAATGAGAAGTTGGGTCTCACCAAGGACACTAGATCTTCCACTGATTTGATGACCGGGCCGTGCAAACTCGCAGATTGGTGGTGCGGCAGTTCAACCATGAACCCTCGCCAAGCTGCAACAACACCGGGAGGTGGCACCGGGCTTCGTGAGCGTGCTCTCTCTTCCTGATGGGCATGGACAATACGTGCCACGGTATGATTCATCTTTCGCTATCGTCTTAGACGGTGTCTGTCACGTGGGCAATCAAGGGAAGCCAGATCTTCCAAAATCCTTTAGTTAAGGTATTACACCTTATATCATACTGTAACGAACCCGACTATGATTTAGGAGATTCTTATCGATCTTGGTAATCCATATGTTTTCCCTCGCGCACCGCCGAAGGTGCCAGGCTGCCAGGAAACAACTTACTCACAGTAGACTGGCTCATTATCCGAAAGTGCACACGTCAGGCACCGAATTCAAAGCTATACAGGCAAGTAATCCATACGTGTTTACGGGTGTTCATATTGAGAAAAATGTTCACCTGATGTCCCCCCAAATGAAAAATAGTCCTCGCCAATCGCCCCTCCCGGGGCAGGGCTGGCCGACCGTGCTCGCGGGCGCTGCACCTTTCTAAACACATGAAAAACTTCTGCTGTGACATTCGGCCAATCTGAGGGCACTTCATAAGACTTGAAGCAAGCTCCTGGCAGTGTTGCCACGCTGGCCACTGGTGACATGTGCCACGGAGAACCCAGGCGTCCGTCTAGCTGACGAGGCACTGGTGCTAGCTGATCCGGCGCCGCTATCGGCGGCGGTAAATGGCGGGATGATGGTCCCGACCTTGCTGCAATGTGTTGGCGTTTTGAACATCAAGTCGTACGGAACAACCTGTCAGTAATTGTGTCGCCAAGTTGCAAATCCCCACTGACCGATGTTGGCGGCTCCAAGGCAGTCAATCGATACTGGACCCTTGCAGGATGCCCATGTACACTCCATATACGTTCTGGGCAAAAAAACAGCTGACCCTGAAATCACTGCATCGTCGGCCTCTCGCTGGGAGGAGTGGCCACACGTGCCCCATCCATGAAATGGGGGTCGCGTGCCACAGCTGCGGACAGAAATGGCCACACGACATGTGAACTCGAGCAGTGGTAGCTTGACTCACTCGTGTATCGACAGGAAGCGCGCACCCGTTCCATTCCTATACATCATCTTATAAACACAAGGCTGATACAGCACTGCATCGCAAGCAATTTCAACAGTGGCTACGGGCAGGTAGCATTGGGCCATGTTGGGCCCTGGCCCCATCCAGCATAACCTCAACCAACTCATCGGCCAGAGAAGCCAAATCTAGTGCCATGGCGCGGCGGACGGGGAACGTCAAGGAAAACACATGTACACAAACTGACGGGGATTCAAGCATCTCGTCTGCTGCGCTTTCCACCTGGTAGCAGCTGCCTGAACTCTTGACTTTTGTTGTTTGACTGTTGAATCGGCCGTGTCATGCTGCGTGTCTGCTGGATCCGAAACAATACAGCCGCGGGGTAGGCCTGGGAATAGGCCTAGGGCTGGGCTAGGGGTAGGCCTAGGGGTAGTCGGGTTGGGCTAGGGGTAGGGCCTAGGGCTAGGCTCGGGGTTGGCTTAGGGTAGGGGTAGGCCCAGGAGTAGGCCTACGCTTAGGGGTACTATTGTTACGATTACTTGCGCCACAAAGGATGCGGAGCCTCAAGGCTTGCCCCTGAGGAAGAAGGCACCTTTCATGAGGCAATGTCTGTCGTAGGTCTGGAGGTCTCGAGTGCACAAGCGAATTCCTGTCCATGTCGAAGGGTTCGAGACGGGAATAAGCTTTTGCCCCCTGATGCAAAATCAAGTGCCACTGCGAAGAATGTTGCAGAGTCTGCTAGGACCTGCTAGGACCGGTTCTGATCATCAGAACCCGACTGTTGCGATCCGCCTCTGCAATTGCGCGAGTTCTGCTAAAAACCTAGACTGCGCAGGGAAGATATCTGTCCCATGCTGCCTTGTACAAGCATGTCTTGGGGATACTGGAGATACCAACACATGCTCATGCTGCACACTTTGAAGCGTTTTCCTGTTGTGTCTTAGAGCTGCACTTTGGGCCGCCAGTCTGTCCAAGGTTCAGAGTTCAAGCACCTGTACACTGCCAATACGCGCACGAAACATGTGCCTGCTGGACGCATGTGTTCAGGGTGTGTGGGTTGATGTGTTCAGGAACTGCCAAACTTCAAGACAAGTAAACAACTAGTTTCTGTTGATTCGCAGCTTGTGTAGTGTACTCCTAGGGTCTCAATATTAAAAGGTTCACATTTAAAGAAACTTTTTGGGGGCCTGAGGGTCCGGAAGAGGAGTTTCCATTACGTAGGCGGTTGTTGGCTTTGCGACCTCTAAAAAGGGTTCACATTTAAAGAAACTTTTCCGGAAAGCCTATGTTTGGCAGTAAAGTAGTAAAAAATGTTGAAAGATGTGAGCATAATCTTCTGATGCCGGAGTTGCAATGGGAGCTCCAGGATGCCGAATGGTAGCCAACTCAAGTGAATGCTGCTGAGGCTGCTGCTGTTGATGTTGAAACTCGGGAGTCAATGGAGAATTACTAGCCCGCACACCTGAACTGAAATCAGTGTCCATCTGAGCGGACTCCGACGATGCCTGGTCACGATAACCGGCCAAAGTCTGACGAATGCTAAAAGGAAGATCGTCCAAATGATTATAATCCCCGTGCATCCCTCAGAGGCCTCAAGGCCCCAGCCCCAAAACCCAAAACCCTTGGTCCGATTGATTTGTGCATCTTGAGCCACGTCATCGGTGACCATCTGTCCGCACTGCACAGGTATGCCGGCTCTCTGCCCGCACTGCACAGGTATGCCGACTGTCTGCCCGCACTGCACAAGTGTGCCGACTGTCTGCCCGCACTGCACATGTACGACAACTGCAAAAACATGCAAGCGACATGCCACTCCTACCTTAGTCTTTACAAGACGGCCTTTTCCACACCACGACGACTGAAGAAACAACAGCTCCTACGTATGGCCTGCCCCGGAGGCTCACGACCTTGTTTCTTCTTTCGGGGTTCTTGATTGTTTCTTGTCTGCCCAGTGGCTGCTCTACTGCCGTCAATCAAGTAGGGATGTCACTAATTTTACGTTTACTTTAAATACATGATTGCAGGAAGATTTGTTATCCTACAGAGCCGAGTGCCCACATGCACTCATGTTGCAACTCAAACCATGCCATCAACAACACTCCTCCTCAGCGCTCTTACGGCGCTCGCTGGAAGATCTAGCTGTTTCTACAATGACATGGTTGAGGGAAAACTTCACTTCAAACACAAAAGCTCGCGGAGCTTCTGGAGTCTCATCCTTGGCAGCGTTTTCGTAAGCATATCCGCCACTAACGATTCTCCAGGGTGGTGCAAAAGAGCCAAATCATACAAGCTCATCTGGTCTCGCACCCATGCCGCCCGCAAAGCGAACGTTCTCGTCCTCCACGCTCCCAACGTGAAGTGTTCACGATTTGCCACTGTCACAGCGGCTGCGTTGTCCCCATAGATTCGGAACGAACTTTTCAATGCCCAGCCTGTCATGTTCTCAATCAAGGCTTGGATTTTGATAGTTTCCGAAATGGTCAACGCCATAGCATCCATCTCCGATTCACACGTTGACCATGCTGTCACCGTCTGTTTGGAAGTCCACCATGCAATAGGCGAGGATCCCAACATCACCACTCCGCCTGAGCGGCTGCGACCGCCCTCCGGGGCGTGAGATGCATCACTGTAGGCCTCAAGGTGTCCCTCATCGTGACCATTGAAGTGAAGGCTCAAGCTCAAGGTGGATCTCAGGTATCGCCAAATGCCGCGTGTAACTTGAATCACTCGAAGCGGTCTGCGATGCATTAAAGAAGCAACTTGGGATACTGAAGCAAGTATGTCTGGTCTCGTTTTCGTGCTCAACCACATCAAACAACCTACTTCAGTTTGAGCTTCCTGCAAGTGCCGCTTATACTCGCCTGATTCTCGATCTTCATCCGGTCCTTGTTCGAGGATGGGTAATGATGGAGTGCCCTTCAAGTGAAGCCAATTTCTTTTCGCAAGTTCATTCAACAACCAGCACCGCTGACTAATCACAACCTCGTCACCCTCAAAGCGGAACTGCTGCCCGATGAACGTGATCTCATCCAAACGGGGAAGAGCCTCGCCATTCACTGAGATGGTTACGGAAGGATCTCGGGAAATGAATCCCCCCAATTTTGTTTCCCAAGTGCCTGACACGAAGCCCAGAATGGCAGTAACCGCAGATGGCAACCCAATGCACCAAATGTCATCCACATACATCGCGCATAACGCAACCAGTTCCTGCGACGCCGAATCCCGAATATGAAAAATGCCCTCCTGTTCATCAACCAACGAGATCACAAGTTCACGATTCCCGTCATACTTTAAGGACTTGCCGTGCATGGTGTCATCGCGTAGGCGTGCCCATTTCTTTGGTGATCGCCTCAGGCCGTAGATGTACCGTCGTGCACGCCAGATGGTGCGAGGTGCCACCAGGCCCAGTTTCTTAAGAGCCGATGGCGGCTCGAGTAGGACAATCTCGGATGGCTCTAACTCTGTATTCAGGAATGCCATACTCACATCCCCATTGGCCCCAACCCATGATTTGTGTTTTGCAAGTTCGTGCGCCATAAGGCGTAAAGCAATCGGCGACACATTGGATGTGGTGTTATCCTCATGTTCACGAGCCCCTTCGAAATTTCCGCATGCGCATAACCGAATCTTGGCCTTCCAAGGTTGCTCTGCAGGATCAGCGTTTGTACCGTCACCCGAAACCGTGATTGGTGCCACATCCTCTGGTTTGGCGGCCACGACCAGCTTACATGGAAGAATTTCTGGAATCGGCTCATCTGGGTTCAGCCCCAACTGTTCTCGCAAATGATCCCGATCTAAGTCCTCAAGAACGTTTTTGGCCTTCATCCCGTCCATTTCCTTGACCGCTGCCTTATACCACTTCTCCCTGCGCTCAGGTGTTCCTTGAAATAAAACCGATGTGGTCAAAGTTTCTGCACTCGCCTTAGCTGCCATAACCTCTTGAAGTAAAGCTGCCTTTTCATCAGCAGTTGTTTCCTCATCAGCATCTCCAACCTGATAGGCTGTAGCATCGGCAGGTTCAGAATGTCGTTTCAATGTACACCTCTTGCAAGTGCACCTGTATGGCGCAGATACCGTTTTGGCTGCGATGTGCACTGGGAAGTTCCCTGCGTTTGGCGATGGTCCCAGCTGGCTTTCTTCATACGTAATCAACCCCAGATCTTGACCAATGTCCCTCAAGGCGTCCGCATCTCGAACGTCGCCCCGATCTGACACCCATACCAGATCTCCTAGAGGTGTTGTATGCGTACGCCACACCCTCTGATCCACCGGAATCACAGCCGGTAACCGTGCCGTTGTAATCACCTGCCTCCCGTTCCTAGACACCATACACAAAGCTCCGCTGGAGGTGTGTTCATCCCTACACAGGAAGCGTGCGGTCTCGGTTTTTGCCGTGAAGGGTTCAGGATTATGAATGTTGATCGCAACCAACATCCATGGCTTCGGCTGATTCTTCATCCTTTTGAGATTCAACACCTCCTCACGTTGCACGATCGCCGCCTCACATAGTGCAAAAGGCCACAGCTCCGACGGTGCACCTGATTCCAGAATGAACTTAGTTGCCCTTTCCTTCAAGTATCTAATGGCTCTTTCAGCCCTTCCGTTGGATGCATGCTCATACGGAACTGACATGGTGCGATAGATTCCCTTCTGTTCCGCAGCTGCCTTCATGTCCTTGGCCACAAACTCAGCAGCGCAATCACTATGTAACCGTACTACTTCTGGCCTCGCGCCAGCCATGGAGTGAATCTGAGCAACCATGTCAAACACTACTCCGATGACCTCTGCCTTCAATCTTCGTTTCAGCGGTCTGCAGAAGTATAAGGGATCAGACTCTGGAGCATTGAAGTTTCCAATCAAAGCATACCGATAATCACCGAAACCCTTTTTGAAAGGACCCGTGATGTCAATAGACAAACAGCC